AGTTCTACCAATCCTGAAACTGTGCTGAGTTCTACCAATCCATAATAACTTAGTCTGGCTATTTGAAATTTAAAAAAACTCACATTTATATATAAATGAGGGTCTGCCACTATTACCCAACATTCGTCGAATTGCTATGAATCTTTGGGAGGTTTTTTAAAGTATTCTCTGGGAGAGTTTCTGACAAAGACTTCAAGGCCGGGGTTAACATGGACACACAAGTTCCCTAGCGGGAATTTTAGCACCAGTTTTTTTTGTTTTGTTTCAACTTGAAGTGTCCAGTTTTTTACCAAGTCAAATCAAATGTAATTTTAATGGTCAAGTGAAAAACTGTCAACTCCGAAATGACAGGAGATTGGTTCAAGTTTTTCTTGAGTTGAACAAACCTGCCCCATCCTGCTATGGTGTGTGCCACCAGTCTCTAGATGAAAAATTTGGAATTAATTTTTAATTTCTTTGGTTTGGTTTATTTAATTACTTCTTTACTTTTGAATAGGTAGTCCAAATTGGCGAAAAAGTGCGTTTTAGGGTCAGTTTTTGCGGTTTTCAAAAAAAAATATTCACTACTTCTAGTTGTCCTATACGAATAAAAATTATATGTCAATAAAGTTTAAGTCTTTATCGGTCGTAATCTGGTATTTTTATATCTGTAACACATGTTTGAATGTGTTTTATATTTGTTTGAAAAGTATCAGTTACGTCAACAAATTTCACCGTTTTGCGTGTACCGATCGACCCCACACTGTTTCATTTGGTTGCGGAAGCATCGTAGAAGCATAATATTAATGTCATTTTAAAGAGCGAATTCTAGTCTATCGTTTGATATATAAATTAAAAAAATAACTTGCTTATTTCATTTTTAAAAAATCAGTTTTTAAACTTTAAATGACAATATATACAGGAAAACAAACTAATTCTGTTTCAATTTTTACACCTATGTAAAGTTCACTTTTTTTTAACTACTTTGTGTCGTAAATTCAAGTATATCTGATTTACAGTTGCGAAGCCGTGCCCTCAATAAATATACAACCCTCGAATCAATTTTCAGCCCCGAGTGAGTAGCTCCCCGAACGGTTTTAAAGTTTGACGACCGATGATGCTAAACGGATTTTACCCTTGCTAGAGCCTTCAAACAAGTTGTAAGTATCATTTTTACTTTCTCGTATATACGAAGTATAGAGAAAGTCTTGTAAGCGTGCAAAAAAAAAATCGAGATTTTTACAAATCTCGATGTTTTACACCTCACTGATACGGAGAAACATAATTTTGCAATCTTGTCTGTGTGTCTGTCTGTCTGTGTGTCCGTGTGTAAACACGATAACTTGAGTAACGTTACAGCTAGGTTGATGAAATTTCATATATAAGTATTTTATAAAAATCGTAGATCCGTATCAACTTTTGAGCGATTTCCGATAACCGGAAGTGGTACTTTTCCTACTTTGAATTTTTCAAAAGCCTATAACTTGAGTACTATTTCAGATAGATAAATGAAATTTCACATGTAAGTAAAAGATCTAATTCTCTACATTCTGTTAAATTTTGAGTAATTTCCGTTGACTGGAAGTAGTAATTTACGCTACTTCCGATTTCTCAAAAAACTAATGTAAATTTTAAAAGTACTAATAATATTGCGCACTATTATGCGCTTTTTTATTTGGCGTTCACTTGGTGTGCAATTAATTTGTCTACGAGATTTTATTCTATTTTTAAAACTTTAAGTATTTAAAATGGATTAAAAATCATGTCTATAGCCCGAGTTCCCATCCCCTGTTATTTTATATAAGAGTATTCGAGAAAGTTTAGGGGAGATCACTCCCGGTTTATTAAAGTTTCATTTCCATTTTAATAAATGAGTTTTAAGTTTGAATGTCAGTTTGATTTAATTAGTACACGTTATAATGTAAATTTGAACGCTACGAGTCCACGGTTTTAGCGTGTGAACTAAGCTTGTACACAGGGTGTGTTTAGACGTGAAGCTATTTAATTCAGGACATTCTAGGGACTTAAAATATGGATGCACTTAACTATTAGATGCTAGTGTTAACTAATCCTTAAAATCTATCGAATGGGATTAATGACAGGGTCGTATTACTACAGTTTATCTAGACTATCACGTAAAAATTATGAATCGACAAATTCAAAATGGCCACCAGACAATCCTGGTTACTATGTGGACGAACTCAATTATTTACAGAGAACGAAGGTTAAATAATTATAAAATATTAATGAAACACGAAAGAAATTTATATTTATAATAACTATACATTTTTATCATTTTATTCACGACAAAAGATACTAAATTTTAAGGACTAATGTGATTATTTTTTTATTTTCTGTTGTGCACTCTGATTCTGATTCCCCTGCTGAATCTTGTGAAATGGTCTGCGCCAGTCTCCTTAATAAAATGTACCAGATCAATTTTTAGATGGTGGTGCAATTTATTAAGATTGTACATGTTGTGACTTAGTTTTAAATGTTATATTAGTTGTAAGTGTAAGTAGTACTAGTACTACTAGTAGTATTTCTCATTATTTATTTATTTTATATGCATATAGTAACAATGAAGGACAGTTAAGTTGTCCTATAGGATGTTGAGAACCACAGTATGGCATCTTCATCATTGGATATCTCAACCATTGTGGCAAAAGCAACGAGTATTTCATTTAATAGAATTAATATTAAAAATATACTATCAAGTATAAATTACTTTTAACAAAAAGGTGTTTTCGGGCTTTTTCCTGTTTCCTGCTACAGTCATAGGACAAATAGTAGGCCTACACAATAGGCTAGTAGTAAATTTAATTATATTTTATTAATCACTAAATAAATTATTTATTCCATAGCTGGAGACATTTATGGTGGCCTATCCAGAACTTTCCTTACAAGGGAAGGGAAGAAGACCAAGTCCCCCCCCCCCCCCTACAGTTCCCAAAACATATCACTTACTCTTGATGCTCCACAAGATCAAGGTTGAGGGAAACAAGACATACAAAGATGTAGAGTTGTCATTCTAAAAACTGTTCCCCCAATGCAGTTATCAACCCGATAGGTTTGAATGTAGCATCAACTGCTGCATCACTTGTAGGCATCACGTCTTTATTAGACTACATTACATTACATTACTCCACTAAATTTTTATTCTGTTTTTTTTTTAAATAATATTTTAACTCATCTGATTTTTGAAAATAATGAACACATTCTTCCTGTTAATGTTACCAACACAATAGTTTTAGAGTTATTCTATGTCAAAAGCAAAAATTGAATTTTTTTTGGTATGAAAATACAAGTGACCAAAACGCATTTTTGTCATTTTCAATTATTTTTATTTTACCTTAGAAAGACTCATTTTAGATTACTG